TCTGTTTATACACACTAGTTTTCTTTTCTTGATTACGGAAACAGTTGGATGTTTTAGACAAGCATGTTTCCTTTCGAGTTGTTTAATCATTGAAAAAGAAGCAACAAAAAAAAAAAGGGAGAGACACGTCATATAAACAAGAAAAAAAATGATGTTTATGTGACATTCATTTTATCTTTTATAAATATAAAATGATTTTGGGTTGTCATCTCTTAATTCTTATTTTGTGATCTGGGAGTATTAATCAAAAAAAAAACACTATATCAATGCTGTTGGTATCTCTTTTTCTTCTGTCATTAGATATTTGTCTATTTATTTGGCATCTGATCGAGTTAAAGGCGGTAGAAGAGAAGATCGTGCGTTTGTCTTATTGCACTGAGTTGTTGCTATTACTTGTGACCTTGTCAAGCAGAAAATAAAGGATAAAAGAGACAGAGAGAGAGAGAGAGAGGGGCAAAAAAAAGAAAGAGCGACGAACGAACCACCAGACTCAACATGCAAATAAATAATAATAATAGCAATAATCGTCTTCATCACACATCCAGTGATTGGATAGAAGAAAAGAAAATATATAAGAAATACCATGGATTTACTAAAGTAGCCAGATTATGAGCTTAGAATATCTTATGGCATCAAGTCGTCATGGTTGTTTTTTCTAATAAAAACTAAAGAAAACGGAAAATATGACTAAGTATTAGATTGTTTGAGCATCGTCGTAGTTAACAGCTCCTCATTTGTCAGTTTGTTTATTGTCATCATGTTCGGTAATATTAAATGTTCTGTCATATTGTATATATATACATTGTCACATAAAATGTCTGTTTACTTTTGTTTTGTTTTGCTTTTATATTTCTATTAAAAATAATTTTTTAAAGGTAAATCTTTGCATATAATTATCTTTTTTTCTTATCTTGACACATAAAAACAGCTGGAACATGTTTTTCAGTTACTTCTATTTTCATCTTTGAATACGTTAATCATTCTGGCAATTTGACAAGTTGAATATGAATATACTACTTAATTTATATTACTTTTTCAATAAATAATAATAAATGCAAACTATATATTTATTCTATAGAAAGTCTTTTTTAATATTTTCTTCTATGACAGTAGGTCGAAGACAATTAATGTCACAACTCATCGGTTGTCTCGTAAAAAGTATTGAACAAACTTATCTTGAGAAGTTTATAGAAAAGGAAAAAAAAAACTATAAATATCTTGTTAGAGTATATCAATTATGGATATCAAGATGAGAATTTTTTTTATTATTAAAAAACATTTTAAGAAAGAAGAAAAAAAACTGTTAAAGAATCACTTTTTTTTTGATTATGAATGTCAATAAAAAAAAAACCTCTGCTTTGTTAACCTTTATTTACTGTATAATTGCACTCTTTTCTCTCACAACATTTATGAAACGTAATAAGATTAACGTTCTTTTTTTAAACCAAACAATAATTTTTCTTTTCTTATGAAATTTTTTTACCTATTATTTTTCTCAATTTATTTTTTATAATGTAATTCAATGCATTAATATTTCATTTACTGAAAAGAGAGAAGAAGAAAACGACCGCGCTTTTTGCTTCAAGCTCACGCTGCGCAACTTATAGTGATGAAAGAGTATTTTTGGATTTTTGCCTATATATATGATCTATGTAAAACTTTGTGAGTTATTAAGCATTTTTTTCATATGAAAAAAGAGAAAAACCGATGCTGTGCATAAATTAATTGTTTAATTTGATTTTTTTTTTCTTTTGTAGAAATTGATTATTCAACAGTTCGTCGTATGCCACCTGTTAAACTAAGTGGACAAACACAAGGAACACCAATGAATCCAATGTCTATTTCAACATCTTTACAAGATATCAATGCACTTAAACAAAATTTTACATGGAACGCTAATGATAAAGATGAACCATTACTTAGTGCTGCTGGTCGACAATTGAGTTCATCTATAAGTGATGAACGTGTCTTTGAACATCCAGAAGTAACTATAAAACCATCATCACTTGATGATGAACTTCAACGACGTTCATTAACAATGAAAATATCGAATACAAGCGAAAATCTTGTTGAACGTGAGGGTGGTGGTACTAGTGCACCAAATATACTTGAACATCCTGATATGCGTTCACCTGTTGTTTTGCAAACACAACAATCATCATCGCCATCATTCTCATCAATAATTCAAACTAATTCTAATCAAGTTACACGAACACAATCAGGTAATAAATAAGAAAGAAATTATTAATTTCAAATTAATAAAAAATTTTCTTTATATAGTTGACCTTAAAAAAGCAACTAATCGAACACCATCACCAAGTAATCGTGTCAATTTTTATATTACTGATGATCATGAAAATTCCAAACGATCCGGTTCATTTTCTGGCGGTAATCTTGAAAGTCCAGGTGAAGAAAAAGTAGAATATTTTGTTTTTCATATTTTTCTTATTAATATTTCTTTTCTGTTTTTATTAGAATGAAGATCTTTCTTCATTAACACATACAGAAAATTTCCCTCGTGAATATTCAGATTCATGCTCAAAATCGAATATTCATCCAATAAAAGCAAAAAAGAACGATTCTTGGTGATGCTTATCGCTCATGTATTTTAATTTAATTCTTTCTTTTTTTTTTTGCTGTTGTTGTTTATTTTTTCCTATTTGATGTGTACATAGTACTAATGAAAAAAACGACAAAAAAAAATGAATGTGTTTATTCCAGTAAAAAAAAAAGGCGACAAATGAAATATGTTTAGAATTTGAAAAAGAAAAACAAACAAACTACAAATTTTAATGTGAAAATGTTTTTAATATTTGATTTGAATTATATTCTTGATTTGTAAAAAAAAAGTGGATTACTAACACCTAAACGATATGGTTGATAACGATCAGTAGTACGTTCACTATATGGAATATCGGAACGAAAATATGATTGAGGACG